GGGATCCATTATCGGCAAGGGTAAGGGTTTTGATTCTTCTCCACAGTGTCGAGACCGGATCTGTGGTTGTATTCAATGAACACAAGCAAGCCTTTACCCTGGGATAAAGTGATCGAAGCGTGAAGCTAACCAAGCAACTCCAGTTACTACCGAAGTTACGAATAACTGGATCAATACCTCCATCCTTCCATACACCTTTATGGCGTGGTGAACGTAAAGGATATTCTTGTGCTTAATTTAATAAGTATCATGATACGAAGACATACCTCGCCACTAGATGGAGGTGAGTGGTCAGCTTCGCGCTCCGGCTGCTTTAACCCCCTTGTACCCACTGGTTATGAGGCTAAGTGGACCCCAGAGCCGGTCTGTATGTTGTAAAGAATAGAACCCCGATCCCTCGGCCGTTCAGAACGTAACCCGTCGTTATACCGACTGAGCTGCCTCATTGCGTGATGTTCAATTTATGAACGGCTATCCCGTTAAAGCAGAAATCGCATTTCGGAACCATTTGCCTTCCTAAGTAGGGGCTTCAGTCCGTTACGCTACGTCTCACATCTAATGACATAAACGTGTACTTGTAGATAGAAGTTAAGTTCCGACGTTTCGGAGGAATTTTCTGCAACCACATTCAGGGTCGAATAGAAATACAAGAAAGTAACAAGGAATAAGCAAGTATAGAGCTAATCAATGCACACCACACGACGTCACACACAGGAAGATTAGTCTTATTATATCTGTAATTATCATAGGGAACAGGGATAACTCAGTAGCTACTAGCTACAGGCTGGACGACCGAGGGGTCGGAGTTCGAGGCTTGGTATGGTCAAGAATTTTATCTTATTCACGTCGTCCAAACCGGCTTTGGAGCCCACCCAGCCTCCTATAAAATGGGTACCGGGGGCTCTTTTCTCGGGGATAAAGCGGACTGGGCGTGAGCTACCTACTCCCTACAACAAGTGCCAAGGTAAAGAAAAGTTGATCGCTACATCCACTCCCACATGCGCTTTCATAGCGTAGTGCTTAATTAGTTAAGCACAGGGACAACTTTACCTTTATCCTATTTATCTGTTACTTTTTATTTCTTTAATAAGATCGTCCGTGACGTTCATAAAAGAAAATTATGTAACCTACAATTATGCTCCTGCCATGTAATCCGTTGATAGTACAATGACATTTCGTAGGAATATGTCACCTCCATCTTCAGGATCAAAGAATAAACAGAGTAATAAATCAGCGTAAGCTCTGCTGTCCTTACCACCTGCTTTACACTGGTTTCTTGTTCCACTTATTTTTCTACCCTGAAGATGGAGGCAATATATTCCTCTGAAACGTCTGTTGATTTTCAACGGACTACACGGCGTTATATCCCAGAAGATAGAACTCTTCATAACCACCGGTATGAAAACCTTCAACGAGTAGCACACATAAATTAAGAGTTTGTTCTAAGTACAGTAGCACGGATATTGTTACCTGAGAAGGGAGCAGCGAATGATCCATGGCCAGTTTCCTAACATTGTGAAGCCGCGAGGAGGCATGCACCCCCCACCCCCCACCCTCACAGGATTGTTATTGTTAATGTGAGACGATCTATTTCTGCCACACGAAATCACAGACTCCCCACAGATGTAGTGACTCTAACCCACTTTATATAGGGATAGTCCTCCTTGGCCTGCGGGAAATGCCAGCTGTTTCAAACGTTCTCAGCGGAGTAATCTGTGAAGAGACGACTTTACGGAGTATTCAGAAAGTCTTTAGCCTTGATGACACTGCCATTAAAGCTAGAACGGTTCATTCAAACTGATCGTATAGTGTACCGCCTTAGAATAGGAGAGACGCGTTTCACTTACTAGCGCTTTGTGACGTCTAAAGGAGCCTGTCTTCAGGATGTCATTGATGAGCCGAAATGTCGCTAGATATCGTTGCCTGTTACCTGTGTAACGCGACAAGTAAATTCATGTGGGTCTCGGATCAGGTTAAGACGTTTATTGGACAATTTCTTTACCCTCGCAAGTTTAGGCACAATAGATCACTGTGGTCGCGGTGCAAGGGTGAAGAAGGCCCACCCCTTATACAGTCATACAGTCGTAAGTATAATTATTCATAACTCTTATAATTGCTTGCACCGCTGATCTCGGTGAAGTGTCTTCTGTCCTTTGTCGGATGCGAACTTGCTTCTGTTCTAGTCGGAGCTACACTAAGAACTGACTGGTCTCGTCGAAGCTGGACTCTTATAACCTGCAACATCGTCAATGGTTCGGTTTTATCCGCTGGTAGTATTTGTTTCCATGGATAGCCTTCCATTTCCGGGGAAAGGCATTTGTTGTTTGGGATATTCCTATGCAAATTTCTGCTGGTATTTCGTTTCCAATGAAGTATACAGTATTATCGCAGCCGTTGCCTATCAATGGACGTCTTATCACCTTGATTTTTGGCGGCACTCCTCAATATCTGAAACTAAATATAAAGTCATCCTTGTGAGTAAATACTTACCATACCATGAAGAAGCACGCCGGAATGGAATTATAGGTCCACTATTTTTGACCCTGGCACTAGATGGATGTGAATGGTTAGTTTCATGCTCCGGCCGCTTTACCCTTGAAGAAGACCCCGTTTTTCACTTCATAGGAGACTGGGTGGGTCCCGGAGGCGGTTTGGACCCTGTAGTGTAGAGAAGAAGATCTTGCCTCTGCCGGGAATTGAACCCTGTAGAATATCGCCACGCTGATTGAGTCATTCCGGCTCTATTTCAGTTAAATATATAGAAACAAAATAACAGAAAATGTGGTGTAGCGGTAATGCTCTAGATTTTTACTGGCGGAGTTCTGGCTTCGAATTTAGATCAGGGCACGGTCTCATGACTGTTTTCGTGAGTTTCCTAAATCCTTACAGGCAAATGTCGAGATAGTACCTTAATTAGGATATAACCGCTTCCATCCAAGTAATTTCGAATTCATCAATCAACACACCANGGTGAGTTTCTCGGCCTTAAGAGTCGGACGTCCTTTACCCCCCTGGGAGATTCCTGGTACTCATTTCTGGTAGAGGCTGAGTCGACCCCAGAGCCATAGTGCGTCTGCAAGGATTAGGTGAATTGAAAAATTGAATGACCTCATTGGAAACCGATCCCGGGACCTTCATACTTGTAGCATAGAGCCTCAACCAACTACGCTATCGCGTGCCCTCACAAATTAGCCATTTCAAGAAAGACACAAAATAAGTGTTAATATTTCTGAGTGACACCGTTGCTATAGCAGCGGGTGTGTATAGCGACTGGCTTAAGGGTCGGAAAACTTGGAAATAGGGGTTCGAATCCTGATGTAGACAAGAGGTTTGCCTCTTCTTCACATAGTCCAGATTGACACAGAGGAGTCCAATCCATGCCTGGAGCTCCTTCCCCGGGGGGCGAAGCAACTGGTGTGTGGAGCAGACTTCTTGTCTGCATCTAGTGCATTGGTACAGAATGGACTGGGGGGAGGGGTTGTGACGTTTTCAATGTCTGGACTATATAGCATCGAACGGCGTTATGACTGGTGAAATTAGAATGTATTTAGAGAAAACTGTAGTGGCCTAATCTATGTTTTGTCCTAGCATTTGTCTGAAGAGACTGAGAAAAATATTATAATTATATAATTATGATGTATATTATATTATATATAATATATAATTATATATCATTATTAACATAATTATAGACTTATTATTATTACATCAATAAAGAGATATCATATAGCATAGTGTTACACACAAAACCTATTGAAATAAGTACTTTAATTAATATTGTACCCTCAGTCTTGAATAGTTACGACTCAAGCCAGTAGAGCACAACAGCTTGGCGTAGTTGAAAGTTTCGAGTGGTAAAGGTAAGGTAAATCTATTCCTGTAACAAGCCATGAAGGCCCATAGGGTTGTGAGACGTCGAGGCTCCCATATTTTCTTGACAATCGGCTCAAAGATGGCTGTATGGTTGTCAGCCTTACGCGTCGGCCACCTTTTATCCCCAGGAATATTCTAGATACTCATTTCTGTTAGAGGTTGAGTCGACCCCAGGGTCATAATGCGGTTGGAAAGATTAGGTCAGCTGGAAATATCCACCTCATTGGGACCAGAACACACAACCTTCCGACTTCTAGCGTAGTGCCTCAACCAACTATGCTACCGCGTGCCAAAAATTCAAACTGTAATTCTAATGGGTGTTTTTTTTATTGCTAGTGGGGTGGGACTAACTAAGTCCCTTGCACTGCGGCCAATTCTGGCCTGCTGTACCAGCCCCAGATGATAGGTGAGGGTGATTGTGGAGCAATTGGTAGAATGAAGATTGGCAGGGGAAGCCGAAGTACTCTGAGGAAACCTGTCCCGGCGCCACTTTGTTCACAACAAATCCCGCTTGACCAGACCAGAGATCGAACCCGGGCCGCCGCGGTGGGAAGCCAGCGACTAACCGCTTGAGCTATGGAGCGGGCAATGGGTGTTAATTTTTGGGATCATAAGTCCAGAAATGTCTATGTTGGAAAGAAGCCGGTCGGCAGTATTACAAATATTATAAATTATATTAATTGTATATTATATATTTCACATGAATTATATTATAGTATATAGACGCAGAGAATAGCCCAGTCCTTACTCTTTAGATATCTGACAGGAAGACAAAAGTTTGTGAATTCTATGATATATAAAGCAGTGTCTTAACAGTAATTCGTTCCCGTATAATTTTTCATTTTGAATAGTTCAAAAGTCATGGGATTAAAGCCGTTATTTGAGCAACACAAAGAGGTATTAAATCTGAGCACAATCTTCAGTGCGCCGTTAAACAGCCGACATATATCGACTCACATCTACTATAAAAGGAAGTAAAAGTGAACAGGGTAGCCAACTAAAACAGTTGGGGTCACCATGGCAACGGGGTTGATAATTATGACACTACCACGCATGCGTGAAAATACAAATCGCGCACGTACTCTAGAGGCAAATCAACAAACTAACGCAAGCGGGTGGGGAGAGAACACCTCTGCCATATCGCAGTTTCGAGGGACGTTTGCTTGGTGGCGCTAGTAGTGTTGAAGGCCCGGCGTCATTTATTAACACCGTCGTTGGTATAACGCGGAAGGTCGGTACGAAACAAGGCTCTGGGTTATGAGAGAGAGCTGATGCCATGTGCAAAGCGTGTGTTGGGTTGTGCAGAGTGAAACGTGAATATGAAAGCCTCCCTTGCTGATACCATCCGCAGTACAGCGTAGTGGCCAGTTTCGGTAAGAGGAGCCACAGAGATGAGAAGGCGACGGGTGAGTTCTAGAAACGTAGGAAACGCCCCATAGCAACCCCCTCCCACTCTCTGCAGTCGGGTAAAGTAACCTGTAGCAAGCCAATACGCGATTCAAGACTAAGAAATGCTGATCTTTGCGGAGTTCATCGGAATTAAAAGAAAATATATACAGTGAAGTCTAGAGTATACGTTGAAGCAAATAACAATCGAATTCTACTGCTGCCGCCAAGGTTGTCGTATTTTTAGATAAGTTGGATTTACGAATCAATCGATAATATCGAAGGAATAAAAAGTGGAAGAAAGGAATCTTTGTTGTATCTAAGGAATTCACGGCTCTGACTAATGTCATATTGGTTGTAATGCCATGTATTTCGGAGAGATCCCGAAGTTTCGGAGGAATATATCGCCTCCATTTTCAGTGTAAATGAGTAAGAGAAGCTCAGTTTGTCTATTTCTGCTGATTTTCTGATTAACTTTGTATTTCTGTCCCGAAAATGGACGCGTTGTATTCCTCTAAAATGTCGGAGTCTCTCCGAAATACACGATGTCACAATCCATAAATTTATAATTTTCAAAGGAATCTTTATTCATATTGTGACCTTCTGAGATATTACACTGTATAGTAGTGTAGATAGTTAGTAGAAGTTTCGGAGGGACGTGTATGAAGGAAGAAGGTTACTCCGAAACGCTGGCAACAATTTATGAGACTACACAATATCCTAAAAATTTTAAGGTCCCGGAAACTTCAAATCCTATATAATTTTCGCTTAAATATAAGACATAGTTCAGATACAGAATTTATGTGAATATGGAGTAAAAGATTTGGTCTAATTTCTAGGGGTAAATATTCCGTCAATTAAGAATCACAACTCGACATCGTAAAAACCAATAACAATTTAAATAAACTAACAAACTGAACTTATATAAATATTATTTGACTACTAACTAACCAACCAACAGAGAACCTGCCTTTGTCCTGTACAGTTGTTTGACCCAGAGACCTAAAGTGTGAGAATATTGTAGTATAAATTTAAGGGGTACGTAATATAACAAGATAAACTACATACGTATATGAATGTTAGACATTATCCACTCTCATGATTAAACATAATACACTTTTACGGTTTATTCATGCACACAAATTGCTATTAACATATCATCCCGTTGTTTTGTATGGGTGTGAAAATCTCTCCCTCTCATTGAAAAAAACTAGCTTCAAAATGTGTACTCTTCACGAAATATTATTACGGTTATCAAATTTAGCGTAATGAGATGGGTAGGGCATACAGAAAATATTATTCGGCAAATTTGACTGGAGGACTCCCGGCGTGGAGGATGGTTCGAACACCTCCACCTAGCCCTTGGAGACTTAGGAGGCGACGAAAAAGAAAGAGGGTGCCTGGGTGTGTAACGGGCCACCCTGTCATTAGGGGATTTAAATACAAGGACCTAGTTCTTCATTATTCAAGTACATCGCCAATAATGCAACAAATGATTAGTATAAAAGACGTCTAAAATATGTTTTTCACTAGAAGTGTAACGTTAATACATTAAAATGTTATGAATATCATAAAATGTCATTAAGACACTGCAAGTATGTCCTATACACTAAAAGTGACTATCAAAATACTTAAAAATATCTTTTTGTTTTATATATTTTGTTTACAATTTTGCAACATGTTTCGACCGCACATGTGCCATCATCAGGCAACTTTTTAATTTGTTGGGAGGTTGAGGGGGGTTTGCTAACGACTTTGCTTTGTAAAAAATTCTATTGCGAAATCCAAAAATTGAAAACCGGATGCAATTTGGCAGAATCTTCTATGGAAGTTTATGGTTCAAAAAGAGCTGTTTGCAACTGATGATGATGAATGAAGAACACTTTAAATATCTAGTTATAATTATAAGGTTATTATTAACATTAATATTAGTTAAAGAGGCTGGGAAGGTGTGTGGATTTTAAATTAATCTCAGTACAGGGACCAGCTGAGGTTCCTTTTGAACATGGCAATGAATCTCCGGGTCCCAAGAAAGATGGAGACTCTGGCCCATCGACACAGTTCATAACACGCTCAATCATTCTTATCTTTCCCCGCCCTCCTGACTCCAAAACCCGATCTGCACCCCCCCAACCCCCTCTCTAAAGCCTTACGCGTTCAGCTAGCGATTCTCAGTATTTCTAAATTTATCTCTGTAATACCGAGCCAGCTGCTTAGTCCACATTTATCTCCTCTTCTTTCCGGCTTATCAAATGCTAATATTCACCATCATTCACTATGACTCCATGTCTCTCCAGTCTCAGTCTAGCCAACTTAACGATTTCCTTTACTTCGGGACCATTGTATAATTGATAGAGCACAATGTTGTAGCGCAGGCCGCGCCATAGCTCAAGCGGTTAGTCTCTGGCTTCCCAACTCTGCGGCCCGGGTTCGATTCCGGGGGTCGGGTCAAGTGGGATTTGTGGTGGAGAAAGTGGAGCTGGGGCAGGTTTTCTCCGAGTATTTCGGTTTCCCCTGCCAATCTTCATTCCACCAATTACTCCACAATCACCCTCACCTATCATCTGGGGCTGGTACAATAGGCCAGAAGTGGCCGCAGTACAAGGGACTTAGTCCCACCCCACTAGCAAAAAAAAAATAAGAAAATGCTGTATTGTGTTCTCCTTCGGTGATTTCCTTCCTCGGCCTACAAAATGTCCTTAAGAGGATTGCTTCAGAGTCTCAGTAATTAAGGGGATCAAACCAACGACTTTTACCATTAATTACTATCCTTTTCACAGAGATGAATATTTCCTTCCTTCCTAGTAGACATTTGCAAGACCTATAATTTTCAAGGCCCCTTATCGTGGTGAGGGTGTTTGAGTATGCCAAGGACCCTGAGAGCTATACCAGCGGTAGCGTAGCTACTGGCAGGGCCTCCCTTGCTGGACAGGTCAAAGGGTAGGCATCAGACGAAGAGAGACACCGAAAACTGATGCCGGAAGCAGCGTCATCAGCGGCGACTTGAAGCACAGAGAAAATGATGCTCGAGATGGTTCAAGTTCGTATAGCAACAGGCGTGACCAGAGTGGTTTGAACGGCTGTTGTACTGCGATGTGGAAAGCAAATGGAAAAACTACCACATTATCACTATTCCTGGATAGTCTCTTTCCAAAAACAGAAGATCGCATTAAGTGGAGAAACTGTTTTGGAAGAGGCTGTGGACCTGTCATCTGACAGATTACTGATGAATGAATGAATGAATAATTTTCAAGGGCTTGATGATCAACTAACTACCTAATTAACAATCTAATTCCATTAAGCTGAGTCCTTGAAAAGCTAACAGTTGATCAGCCACTTAAGAGATTACCAGCATTTTATGGAACCCAAAGTTTCATTATCACGTTCATAAGGGCGTGCTACTGGTAACTATCCTGAGCCAGAAAGATCCACTCCACATCATCCAAACGTATTCCCTTAAGATCCATATTAATATTATCCTCCGCTATCTACGTAGGTTTTCAGGGTGGTCTCTATCATTCACGTTTTGCCTACAAAAATTATGTTTGCGCCTCACTTCTCCCCTATTCATTCTAGGTGTCGTACCAATTTTGTCCTCCTTGATTTCATTATTCTAATAATATCTTGTTGGGAATAAAAATTATGAAGGCCCACGTTATGAAGTTTTCTCCAACCTCTCGCTACTTCCTTAATAATAATTCCAAATATTCTCCTGATCTCCTTGTTCTTAAACACCCTCAGTCTATTTCTCCCTCAGTGTGAAGACCAGATTTCATACTCGTGCAAAAACTACGGGGAAAATTATAGGTTTGTGTATTTTAATGTTTAAGTTTTTATAAAGCAAGCGGAAACATGAAAGATTCTGAACATAATAGTACAAAGCACTCACGTTTCTTAATCTGTTTGTAAGTTCTTTGTAATTGCAATTTTCTCTTGTTAGTGCTTTTCCGAACTATTTTAACTTTGTCACATTTTCAAAGGATCTCTCAGCTAAACTCCATCCACTGTTGAAACGAAAGTGGGTCATCAACAGTCAGTGACGCACATCTTTAGGTCATAATCATAAAGTTACCAGAGTTTATTTTCAAAACACCTCCGGTGTTAATGTATCATTAGGAAATTCAATCATACTTTTACACACAGGGACTTTTTTTCCGTAAGGTTTCCTACACATGGTGAGAAATATCCTCGTCCGTAGAGTGGACAGACTTCTGTTGCTATGTTAAAATCTTCTCCTGCGTACTTGTGAAGATACACTGAAATGATGTATGTAATTTAAAATATTAATCTCCATGTTTTTGGAAATTCAAATGATTGAAAATTCGGATATTCATAGAACTTTGAACTGTACAGAGTATGTAACTCTTCAATGACAACACTAGTAAACTGTTTGTAATACGAAATATCAATTTCTTTCATGCAATTTGGATTCGTATATCAGACCATAAGGCAAACAATAATTTATTTTAAGTTTGAAACGTTTTCTGCTTAGCACCGGAGACATAAGCCAAGCTGAGTTCTAATCCCAGTGAAGACATTCATCATGGATACGCACGCTGTCACAGAAAGAGTTATAATATTTATTCGAACAGAAACCACGGAAAATATTTCGTCTACAGGAGTTTCAAAACGTATCACTCACGCAATAGACAGTCGGGTAAATAAATAAATTGTGATTAACTGGGAAAACACGTCAACCAACACAGGAAGGTTGCGCGTAAATGGCATAATGATTGATCTGTCTATTATTTTGCGATAATATATAAACTAGAAAGTCCAAGTAAGTTCAAAGGGTGTAAGTGAAGAATCGTTAAGCGTACAAGACAAGACATTTACCTTAAATAATGTTTGGAGATGCGGGGAGGTGTAACAAGGCGAAAGGTGACATTACATAATGAGGAGATTCATTAGTTTTAGACAATTATTATCGAGTTGATCAACAAAGGAGGATGCAAAATGCATGGCTTAGATAAGAAATTCAAATAACATTTTAGCCGGAAAAACTTAAGGTAGAAATCAC